AAATTGACCATTGCATAATCATTTAATGTCTTTTTGTTTTTTTTTTTTTTTTGGATAAATCTATATGTACATAATTATTGTACATAATGGATTACACATGCCCATGGGGAAGAAATCCGACAGTAGATGTGAAGTGTGGAAAAGTCAAAAATTGTATACTACCGATGAATGCGTGCCACATGTAAATAATGTAATATATTATGTACTTGTAGCATGGTCTTTTTTTTTCTTGTTCCAATATGTAATCATTTATCAAAAGGGCAATTATATTACCACTACAAAATCTACTTACTACACCACATTATAATCACACCACATAATTTAATATATTTTTAATAAATACACCACAATAAATTTACACAATTAACTTTTCATTTGCACTAGTGCAGAAATTTTCATTTACCGTGAAAAAAAGAAAATTATCTTGTCTTTGTGGAAGAAGGCAAAAGCCGCCGGAATAATTATGAGCAATTATCTGTTAAGGAAAAAGAAAGAAATAAATTAAGTTTTATATTTGTGGTGTAACAATAATTTATTTAATTAAAAAATATATTAAAATCCTAATTATGTAATTTTACTTAAGAATATTTAAGTAAATAAGAAATTTGTAGTGTATTTAACAAAATTTGTAGTGGTAATATAATTACCCTTATCAAAATATCATTTTAAGGAAATGACCGTTGAACAGTCATTACTTGTTTTGCGCTTATTTTTTCCAATCTCGCATTACCTCACAAAATATAATTACAATATCATTTTATTCAAGAAAATACTGAATTATAACTCTATGAATTATAATTTTCAATCCAAATTCCTATAAATTCTAAATTCTAATTTTCAATCCAAATTCTATAAATTCTAAAAATGAAAGTTGGAGATGAATCAAGAATTTATTGTTGACAATTGTGGACGAAGAGAGTGATGGTTTAAATAGACTATAGAGTATTGCTGAAACTGAAATTAAAACCTTGAAAAAATATAACATTTGAATGTAAAATATATCCGTTGAATTTATTGTGTGAATTTGTTGTTGAAAATGATCCCGTAAAAAAAATAGTTTGGAAAGAATGAAAATCTAACAGGGACTTAGTGATCTCTTCAAAATTACCTTTTTGGGACTCATTTTTTAATCGCATACATTCAATAAAAATAATTTTTCAAGTGAATTCCTTATTTTTGGCCTACTTTTTAACCAAAAAAAAAAAAAATCTTTTCTCAAAAATCAACCCTGCATAAAAGCTTAAAGTTTACGCTAACGGATAAAGGATTTTCCGAGCATTATTGTTTGAATCTTCAAAACGCATAGAGTAGAAGTCGTTTTGTGCAACTTGCTCTCTACCGAAATATTGGTGGTGGAGACACTGCCATAACATGTTTACATAGGATCAAAAAATGACATGGTTTTTGCAAACTGAAAGGTAGGGAAAAAAATAAATAAATAAAGAAAGAAGACGAGATAGAGTAATGTTGTCCACTACTAAAAATAAGAAAATTTATGCCTATATTATCTCGAAAACTTTTTTAAGTTGCAAAATGATATAAAGCTAATACTTTCATCTTTAAATAATTAAGAAATTAATTTTTTAAGCTAAAAAAGATAAAATAATTTCATTAAAGAAATATTTAATATTTTAAATTTTTTGTTCGTTGGAAAAAATTTATTAATTAGAAGATGATAATATATGTTCACTCGACAATGTTAAATAAAAAATAAAATGATTTTTTCTCAATATATTATCTGTTTGGTGGGGATTAAATCGGATTTTTAGTAAATTTTAATAGAAGTTGATGAAATGTGTAGTTAAAAAGTTGTGAGAGTCATAAAATATATGATTAAAATTAATTAGTGACTTTAATTTAGATTAGAATTTAAATTAAAATCTATAACAGAGCTCTAACTCATTAAAACTAAATCCTTGTTCGTTCGGGTTTGGAGATGAAGTTCCAAGGGAAAAAAGGAAAAAAAACTGTAAATCTCACTCAAAAGAAGACTATTTTTTAACGAAAAAAAAAAAGCTTCTAATGATAAAAGTAGTTAAGAAAATGTGGAATATAAATTGACCATTGCATAATCATTTAATGCCTTTTTGGGTTTTTTTTTTTTTTTCCCAATCAGAAATCATTTATCAAAAAAATAATTATACATATCATTTTAAGGAAATAATTTTCGGTCAGTTATGTTAGTATGCTCGAGTATTGTCCTAATACAGTTTCTGTAGTCCTTGTTTGATTCAAAACTCATTTTCAATCGTACATTCTCTAATAATAATATTACACACAAATTTAAAATTTTTTCTTAATTTTTAACCACATATTCTTTATCAATTTACTATTTCAAAATGCGTTATTTCTCTCAAAATGGGGCTCAAACAAGGATTTAGTAAACATGCCCAACGTCAAATCCATCTCTATGAGTCTCGATCCCCAATTACAAGCACAAATATACTGTGCGCATAAAATACATTAATTTTGCAAAGTAAAAGGGACGCTTATAAGGTCTTAGAGCTGCAATCAAGAATTTCTTTTTCTGTAATTTTTGTTCTCCAAATTCAGATTTTAAAAGGTGAAGTCCTATGCGATATTATTGAATTTTCCACATCTTTGGATAATTTTAAAAGGGATATTAATTTCAAATTTTGTTGAACAATTGAATACGTAGACACAAGTTGATTACCATGGGAACAAAATCTTACATTCGTCACTACTACTTGTCACCTCTTCCAACTACTCTCATCCTCGTTGTTACGTCACGAACTCGTCATTTTTCTTTTGCCACCAAAAAGCTGCCAATTTGATTTTGGTTCCTTAGCCTAGTAGCTTGTTTCATTATCCTACCCGCACTCCTCTAAACTTCATACTGCTGTCTATTACAAACCCCAGAGGAGAGAAATTGAACTCAGAAAACCATTTTAGCTGCAAATGGATTCCAGAAATGCGATGCCATATTTGGCTGCTATTTTCTTACGCTTTGTGTTTGCAGGTTTGTTCATAATTGCAAAGCTTGCTCTGAACCTGGGAATGAGCCATTTCACCTTCACTGTCTACAGGAATGCGACCGCCGTCGTTGTCTTTGGCCCTCTCGCCTTATTATTCGAAAGGTCCGTTGGAGGTCTCTCTCCCACACCACACACAACAGACACAAGCGCCCTCTCTCTATCTGTGAGAATATTCAGAAAACTTAAATAACCAAAAAATTTAACAATTTTGACAGGAATACAAGGCCAAGGATAACATTCGCCACCCTCTACAAGATCTTTCTACTTGGCTTATTTGGGTAAATTCAAGGAGAATATGTATAATTAGATATAGTACTGTCTGGTTACCGATTCTTGATTAGCTCGAACCCTGGAACGATTTTTTTTTTTTCTTTTACAACTGCGTATACCTGCATAAAAATAAAATTTTCTTGCAGGATTCTTGATCAAATCTTGTATTATGCCGGAATGAAATCTACAACAGCAAGTTTTGCAACGACACTCTTCAACTTTCTTCCAATTATAAGCTTTCTGTTGGCTTTGCTGTTGAGGTATTCATTGCACCAGGTCACAGAGTCGGATCCGATGAATCCATGATTTAATTGAGTAGTATTGTCTCTGAGTGTTGGGCTGTGATGCCGAAGGGTTTAGGGGCAATGATGAAATGGGCCGTGGCTCAAGCAAATGTCTGATAATTTGATCTTGGCCCTAAACCCGAACACTAAGCTCCAACTCCCTGTTTGAGGAAAAGTGATTTTGGTCAGCCACTCATTTTCTGAGATGCTCTGGACCGTTGGATCAGATTGAAGATCAATGTTCTCTCTACTTCTTTCCATTTCTGATTTTTTTTTTCTGAGTGAGATAAAAGATCATTTGTGTGAGTAAAGAGAAGGAAAACGTCTGGTGGTTTTTGTTTTGGGTCACTGTAGCAACATTTGATAAGGGTTTTGCAATGGGTTTTTGTTGTTAGGGTTCCAAGGTCAAACAGAACGTACAGTTTGTTTTCTGGGCCCTGATCTGTAAATTCCTCGATGTTATTGTGGTTTAGTGTCGCAAATAGTTTACTGGATTTGTGTACTTCTTGTGAGTTTTGTTTCAAGAAATCTGTTGTGTTTGAAAAGTTATTCTTATTAGACTTGGGTTGTGAACTCTTATTAAAATTTGTGTGCTAATTTTTGAGTTTGATAGGATCGAATTGCTTGTTTGTAGCCCACGCCGTTATACTTTAGTCTATATTTTCATTTTTATTAATATGGAATTATTTATCCCTTAAAAATTCTAATATTGAGTCTAGGTAATTTCATTTTCTGTGCTAATATTAATACACGTGTATTTGTATATTGCTATTTTTGCAGGCTTGAAAAGGTAAAATTTAAAAGCTTACACGGCCAGGCAAAGGTTATTGGAACTTTTGTCAGTGTTGGTGGAGTATTGACCATGGCATTTATCAAAGGACATGTTATCGGATTGCCATGGACCAAACACGAACCCAAAAGTGCTGCAGATTATCACCAAAATTCCATTAAAGGCCCTCTCATGATCTTAGGAGCTTGTTTATGTTCCGCCAGTTTTAACATTCTTCAGGTACTTATTTAGAGTTTTTCTTTTGTCCAGCCACCACCGTTATCATGAGAACAACCTTTTAATGCTTGCTCACAATACATTATTTTTGTTACATGAATAGATTGCATCAATTTTTTTTTACCTAGATTAATCTAAATCCAGTTTCTGCTGAAATTCGAATTGAAATCTCAGCAAAAGAGAAGAAATAAACCAAAAAAAAAAAAAACACAGTTGGGGATTTAAGGAAAATGGAGAAAGTTAAATGGATAGAGCCTGGTGAGTTGCAGAAACTTTCCTTACATAAAAAGACACACACAGTTCTTATTTTGGTGGGTAGGTAGGGAGGAAGCTGTGTGTGTTTTGGTTTAGGGAGAGAGAAAGAGAGAGGTTTGGTGTTTTGATTGAATTTAGGGAGAGAGATGGAGGTTTGTTGTTTTGACAAGGTTTAGGGAGAGAGTTTTGATATGGTGTTTTGAGTTGCAGAAACTTTCCTTACATAAATATACAGAGAGAGAGTTTTGATTTCGGTTGGTAGGTAGGGAGGAAGAGAGGGAGTGTGTCTGTGTGTGTTTTGGTTCAGGAGAGAAAGACGGGGGGTTGGCGTTTTGATAGGGTTGGTGAAAGAGGGAGGGAGACAGAGAGTTTGGGATGGTAATTTGTGATTTTAAACTTTCAATATGAGATATCCTAATTCATGCTCTCAAAATATAAATTGAAAAAGGTAAAAAAAAATTGTGGATTCACGATTAATTTTCAATTGTTGAACAATTCGACATGGAAGAGATGCTTAGTTGAGAGAGAACTAAATATAGAGTTCGACATGGAAGAGATGCGCAGTGATACATTCAGTGAATCATTTCTCCCTGCATAATATTTCTGGCAATCCCTATTATTTGAGCCATCTCTGAACCTACTGGCTGTGATGTTCAAGTTTTGTGTGATTAGAAGAACAGAATGCCCGCCAATCTTGTTTAAGAGATTTAAAAAAAAAAAAGAATTTGAATATCTGTATCTTTATTTGAGAATGAAACAGTTTCTTGATAAAATTGACCCTTCCTGACAATAAAAAGATTTTGAAGAGAAACCACATTTGCCAGATTATGACAATGCTGCATCATTCAATGCTCATCCAGATTGCCGATAATATGATATGCTAATGGTAATTGAAATTCTATCAACTCCATAATTAATTTAATTTAATTTTATAATATAATATGATTATAATTTTACAGTTTCTACAATTGCTATAGGTGCTTAAAACCTAAAATCGCGTCTTATGATACTCAACTTTGGCTAGAACTGTTCAACATTGGAGAGATTGAACTTGAGAGTTGAGGTCCCCTGCATCCACAACTGTTATAAAATAAGTTCCCTCTTTTCAAGGTTTTCAAATTCACAATTTTGTTCCTGTCAGCAAAAACTCACACAAACTTGATCACCATATTCGGGTTCCATTGTATCATGGAGTCATGTTTGCTTACTGTGTACATCTCCAGAGTGGGGGCAAATACCTTCTCATGGAAGGTGCAAACACGTGTGCATTCGAAGTTATTATCTTCAAGTTTACATCAAGGGGGTTTGGTTTAATCTTCTACGTCGGTTTGTTGCGGTTTGACCAACATCTCTATTCGACTTGGAGTTCAACATGATTTTCTCCAACTTCGTCTACTTGTTGCCCCAGCCATGGCAAATATAGCCCAACATGACACTTAAAAAAAAAAAAAAAATTAAGACAAAATTGAACAGAAGAAAAAAAGAGGGCAAAGTTTTAAGTCGTGAAAATTTTATGAATGCAGGCAATAACATTGGAGTCATACACAGCTTCACTCTCCCTCACAGCTATGATAAGTGCAGTGGTTGGTGTCCTGGGCTTTATATTGTCGGTTGTGGTGGAGAAGGGCATTCATTTTACAATGTGGTCGATACATTGGGATATTAAACTATTAGCTTATACCTACGGAGTAAGATATTTGATTTATGAATATTTGAATATTAATCTATGTTGGAGAACCTTACTTGTATATATGGTTTTGTGCAGGGAATTTTCTGTTCAGGACTTTCTACTTATATTTCAGGATATATATTACAGAAAAAAGGACCGGTGTTTTTAACATCATTTAGTCCGCTAACCACGTTGATTGTTGCTGTTATGAGCGTTTTCATTTTAGCAGAGCAATTGGAATTGGGAAAGTAAATTTTTGTCTCTCAAAATACTATGTTTCAAACACTATATTATTTCTTTTTCTTGATTCTATACATGGGCATTGCAGGATTGTTGGAGGGTTTGTTATAGTGCTCGGGTTGTACCTGGTGCTATGGGGTAAGACCAAGGATAATCATAACAGCTCATCTATGGTGCACCCAGAAGAGGAACCGTCAATTCTTCAAGAAATAAATTCTTCTATGAGGGCCTCATCAAGTGATGGCTCCCAAGCAAGAACTGCAGATATGGTTTAATTAATACATTGAATTTAATTATCGAAAGCACTTTAAGGCCATGTTTGAACTCCGTTTTTGGTAGAATGGAATTTGTAACAGTAATTTTTTTGAGAATGTGTGGTTAAAAAGTATGGAAATGTTTTTTATTTGTGTGAAATCATTTTATTGGGAGAGAGGTTGAAAATGAGTTTAGGAAAAATGAGTGGTTGCATTGGGAGGACTTGTGGTTGAAAATGAGTTTTAAGAAAATGGGGTTCGAACATGACTAAAGTTATATTTCACCCTAACCTTATGGGACAATTCGACATATTTGAAGCGACTTGTTTGAATACATTTTGAATTTGTTCATTTGAAATCTCAGTTCTTACTCTTTATTTTTATTTAATATTAATATTTTCCCTCTATTGTTATATCTTCCTTAAATCTCGTAGGTTTGATCCCGTAAAATTTAACCTATTTTCTCATTGAACAATGGTCAGTTCTTATTTTCAACTATATGTTTTTCAATAAAATAATATTACACTCAAAATCAAAACTTTTTTTTTTTAATTTTTTAACCACACATTATCTATTAAATCACTATTTCAAAATGCATTTTTGAAAAATAAAAATAAAAATGGAGCTCAAACATACTCTAAATAAGGAAAAGTGATTTATAATTGAGAATAAATAAAAAAGAAAAATAAGTCTATTTTTATCAGATTGGGGTATCTAATAACATAAAACATCATATAATATTTTTTTTTCCGTTAAATAAAATTTATTTATTAGAAGTGGACAACATTTGTCTGTTTGAAGAAGATATATAGGCGAAAACAACAGCAGGTCAATTGAGATTTCCAATCTAATTCTTTTGAATTTTCCACTCGAATATAATATATTATTTATAGCATATAGTACATATGATATTCCTTCAAGTATAATAAAAAGAAAAAAACTCTCTAAGAGCTTACTTATCAATTTTTTTCATTAATTTTAAATGACAATATTTGTTATAGTTTGGAAAAATCGACGGTATCCATTTTCAATTAATATGGTTTCTAAGTTCGGTTTCTCTTATAGACAACAATGTGAAATTGAGAAGAGGACGATTGAATCATGGTAGGAGAATAAAATCAATTTATCGGAATTAAACGTGAGAAGTGTCACTAAAATTCTTATAAATATGTAAATTGCTATACTCATGTAGTCAAAGGTTGAATGAATGGCCACCGTTGGAATGTTTATGGTTTTTTATTGAATATATTTTATAAGTTTGATTTTGTATGATTCAAAAAGTCAAAATCCTTCCAACAATTATTATGTACATCATTAAATATAATTATCTTCTTACCAAATTGGGTGCCCATTTGTAGAAGTCAGTTTTCTCTAAAAATTCTTCTAACCTAATAATTAAAGCACTTTAAGAAAATTATCTGAATATATTCAAAAGCAGTTTCTTAATCTCAAAAATAATTTTTAGCTTTTCAAAAGCTCTATCAAACAAGGCCTAAGTCAAATGAAAAGCGTGCAAGAAATGTAATATGATACAGGATTCAATGTATTTGGAATAAAGCTTAGTTAATTGATATATATTCCAATTATAGATAACACGAATTATTTTCATTTTTCTTTTTTTTCGGAATCTATTAATTCACTTTTAAGTAATCTTTCAAAACCATTGAATTGTGCAAAGAGGCAAATAAGCATAGGATTCCCATGTAATCTTTAATAGCATAATATATTGAGAAAGAAAAAAAGATTCCTTGAAAAAAAGATTCCAAGACAATTAATATATTATCCTGTCATTATGTTGCATAACAATGCTGCAGATTAATTAATTTGGTCCCTTAAAGAACTTGTAAACCAAACCCTAACAGTAAAAATTGCCGGCTAATTCTTTTTTATCAGATTGGGGTATCTAATAACATAAAACATCATATAATATTTTTTTTTCCCGTTTAATAAAATTTATTTATTAGAAGTGGACAACATTTGTCTGTTTGAAGAAGATAATTTGGATAGGTGTTAAGTTCACTTTACTATTAAAAAAAAAAAAAGAGGAAAAAAGTGTAAATCTCACGTGAAAGAAGAATATCTTTTATAATGAGAAAAAAAGGGGCTTCAAACGTTGTTGTTTTTTTTTTTTTTTTTCCTCTGAAAAATTATAAGTACGTAGTTAAAAACTTGAATGCAAATTGTTGTATATGTTTATAGCAAGCAATTTGTAATTTATTATGGTATTTTTGTCAATAACTATATTTATATAAAGTAAAAGAATTAATATAATGCTTGGTCAGTGATTTCTAGAAGAACCGAGCTGCAGATTCCTCACATTGGGGGGTGGGGGGCTTTTTTTTTCATTTTTTATTTTGGCCGGGCCCACGTCGGTCCCACCCTCTTGTGAGGGTCGGTCACCCAAGTGGGCATCCGTTTTCTGGAGCAAAATTCTTCCTAGAACGTTTGCATGGATATGTCGGCGGATCAGATCAATCTACATCGTACTTGGTCAAAAGTGTCTATATCTAATCATATGCATTGCAATAGATATATAGGCGAAAACAACAGCAGGTCAATTGAGATTTCCAATCTAATTCTTTTGAATTTTCTGTTTCCATTAATGGCTTACCAATGATGTGGGCCTCGAATATAATATATTATTTATAGCATATAGTACATATGATATTCCTTCAAGTATAATATATTATTTATAGCATATAGTACATATGATATTCCTTCAAGTATAATAAAAAGAAAAAAACTCTCTAAGAGCTTACTTATCAATTTTTTTCATTAATTTTAAATGACAGTATTTGTTATAGTTTGGAAAAATCGACGGTATCCATTTTCAATTAATATGGTTTCTAAGTTCGATTTCTCTTATAGACAACAATGTGAAATTGAGAAGAGGACGATTGAATCATGGGAGGAGAATAAAATCAATTTATCGGAATTAAACGTGAGAAGTGTCACTAAAATTCTTATAAATATGTAAATTGCTATACTCATGTAGTCAAAGGTTGAATGAATGGCCACCGTTAGAATGTTTATGGTTTTTTATTGAATATATTTTATAAGTTTGATTTTGTATGATTCAAAAAGTCAAAATCCTTCCGGCAATTATATAATTTTATAATGGTTGTTTGTTACCCGTCTCATTCAATGCCAAAGAATAATGCTTCTCGAATAGGATTATTGATAGGGTGGGGTGACAACAACACCTGTTTGTTTGTTTGTTTTTTTTTTTAAATTGTCAAATTATATATGGACATGTGTCCCCCTATTTTGTAACATGTGACTGATACTGTTTGTGTAGCATAACTCATGCCAAAATATACTTTACAGAAGCGGATTCATTCATCTTGGCCCCGATCAATGAACAATAGCGTAACGTAATTCACAACAAAAAATAAAATAAAAAAAATCGTGCTTACATTATTTTCGAAAAACTTTTTAAGAGCTTTGAGCTTCATTTTTTTAGTGAAAATGTATTTTGGAATATTAGTTTGATGGGGAATGTGTGATTAAAAATTAAGGAAAATTTTTGTGTGTGCGTGCGACATTGTTTTATTGAAAAATGTGTGATTGGAAATAAGATAGACATATATTTCGGAAATAATGGAGACCGAACGATGGCTAAGTTGCAAAATGATATAAAGCTAATAAGTCCATCTTAAAATAATTAACCTTTGAGTCCAGATAATCGTTCGTTCCCATATAGACTATTATTTATTTCCAATTTACTATTCTACTTTCATTTGACGAAAACAATTTATAATTTGGTGATAGTTGATCTAAATTATACTAACTAGCTTGATGTATTGAAATGCACACAAAAATTGAATTAGGTTTCTAAGTATAAGGAGATATGAAGATATACAATTTTATTTATCGATTACATCTAATTCTCTAATCAAGATTCTTACCTTCATGTAATGCTCAGTAATCAAGATTCTTAACTTAATGTAGGCTCAGTCTAATGTATTCAATTTATCTCTCTTGAGTTCAGATCGATCTATTTAATTAAGTCAATTCTATACCTTTATGTGAATCAAGATATATCTTAGTTAAATGCCTTAAATTTCTAAGAATCTATGTAACGATCGCATTAACTAGAAAATATATCTTTACTTTTATAATAGTTCCCCAATTTTATTGTGTATTCTAAACCTATAACTTACCTCTTTGCTCGTTATAAATGCACAAGATCATTGAATTAAAGTAATTCAAAGTATTAACAATTATAAATAAAATCAGCACATATAAAATTGAGAATTAGAATCTTGAAAATTGAATTAAAAGGGTCTCAATAAACTATTTTGTTCGCTATAATAAATTTTTTAGCTACTTATACCGGATGAATTTTGCACAAAGATCATCTTCTTGTCCCAAATTTTGCTTCCAAATCCTAGTTTCTTGTTCTTGTTTTTCTTTCTTGTGGTTTTTCTAATTCTCAAATGTGTGCAACCCTTTTCCCATCTAATTTAATGTAGAGTTCCAATCTAAAATAAACTCGAAAAAAGGCAAAAGAAGATAAAAATAAATAAAAAAAGCGCAAAAATCGACAAATGGGACTGGGCCGCAGGTTGCAAACCCACTGCCCACCTGCGGCCTATGCGGGTTTGCAACCCATGGCCCATATCTCTTTTTATTGTGATTTGTCCCCCAACTGTCTAAAACTTTCATTTGACAATTTTCCATCCTTAATGTCATGAATTTATCCAATTGCATCCAAAATTTCTTCCAGTTGATTGATTACAACCCCGAATGATTTGCAAGTGCTCGAATTAATCTCCAATTGAGTTTAAAATCACTTGCATCAATTACCCTCAATGTTTATCTTTTCCTACAAATTACATAATTTCACATAATTAGTTAGCAATCCGCTCAAATTAATAATAATTTATCAGAGGACATATGAACTCTATCTTACTCGATCCTAGTATAGGCTACTCGACTATGGCCAGCCAGCTAGGTGATCTTTGCTAGAATTTTTTTTCCATTCTCTATATGTTTTGAAGTGGAGAAATTGACATAAG